TTCTGCAGCATCCCATTGGCCTTGATTAGAGTATATTATCGCCAGATTGCCCATGTTTCTCAGCGTGTCTAGATGGTCCGCTCTAAGCTTATTCTTATCCATCTCCATTATTCGCAATTGAATCTCGGCTGCTTTATCCCATTGACCTCTAAGGTTGTATGCCAATCCTACCGCGTTCATACTACACAGGGTGTGCTTGTGTTCCTGACCCAAGATTTGTGTATGCACTTCCAGCGACTTCAAAGCCAGGGCCTCAGCATCGGCAATATTTTTTTTACCATTGGCATACGATGCTGCGCGATAAAGCAGTTCAGCCCAGTCTAGCAGAGAAGACTTTGTTTCCGGTCGTAGATCTGCAGCTGACTTGACGTGCGCATACAACGCCTGACATGTTGGCCAATTCTCGTAGTGCCCATTTTTAGGGAATTCCGCGCATAGGATTTTTATGAACTGCTGCTTCCATTGCTCTATTTTGCTGTTGGCTTCCAGCCATTTGCGCGTCGCTCGCTGTACCAACCTGTGCATCTCGAAGGTGTGCATATTGGCTTCGACCGAGATGAAGCAGAAGTTGCGCAATGTCATCACATCCTCTTCGAACGAGTCACTATCGCTGGCAATCGCCTTACAGTCGTCCTGACTTTTACGATGACTTTTGTCAAGATGGAAAAGATATCTGAGACGCTGTTTTGTCGAGATCCTTTTTACTCCTCGACTACGGATGAGTGTCTCGGGAATGCCTTGCCGGTCGAAGAAGCTCATCAAGGAAAGCAGCTCGGCGGCCGACGGCCTGGTCCGTTGTATGTGCTCGAATGATATCTGCCAGGCAATGAAGATAGAATTCTTAGCGTCCCGATCCCTACGAAGTTGCCCGCCTTCGTAGTCAAGAAGTCCTGTCCCCTCGCGATCGCTGTTCTGGAACTTTTCGAGATATTCTCTTGCCGAACAAAGAGGCGCTCTTTGCGAGATGTACGACGCCGCTTGTACAATGGCCAGCGGCATGTACTCGAGCGCCGCAGCGAGCTCAGCAATATCTCTGTCATGTCCTTGGACTCCTAGCTTCTTCTCGAGAAGCGCTTGTGCTTGCGCTTTATCAAACGGACCTACCGTAACGATGTTGCGTTGCTCCACAACCTTCAAGGCCGCCTCTTTGTTCCGAGATGTTACCAAAACCGAACCATGCTCGCTGTGGGGAATGTGTCTGAGAAGCGAGTTCGAAGTGGACCCAGAGCCTCCGGCCTGCTGGCCCGTGTCGTTGGCTCGGACATCGAGAAGGGAGCCAACATCGTCGACGTTGTCGAGTATGACCAGCCATCGCTCTTTGCAGTGGCGCAACCAGTTGTGCACCAGCTTCAAAACGTCTTTCTGAGGGTCGTGCCGTCCAGCGATTTTGGCGCACTCGGCAATGTCGCGAAAGCTTTCCTCGAATCGGGCTGCGTTGCTGGCATAGACCCAGAACACCCATGTCTCTGGCGATCTCTTGTGAGTTCTGTATGCATACTCGATAGCAAGCTGTGACTTGCTTCGTCACAATCAGCGCGTGGTGCAACCCGTGTGTTGTGTGCACTCACCCAACGCCGCCTAGGCCAATGAGCGCGGTCCGTTCGCCGGATACCGCGCATTTTTCGTGCACCTGATCGAGTATCGACTCTCGCTCAACGAAGTCGACGTCGCGAGGGAACGATATCAAGATTGTCGGGTGCGGTGGAGTTTCTGGTCGTTCTGTAGTGGGGCTAAGTTAGCCCTGGTCCGCGCCGTCCCGACCCACACGCGATCCCGTCACGTACCTGGGGAAAGCTGGAACGTGGTGTTGACAGGCCCGTTGACAATGCCGGCCTGAAAGCCAGCGTTTCTATGGCCAAACGTTGACGCGGAGGCCATAGTAGTAAGAAAACAATGCCATGAGCGATAGTGTTCGCGGCGAAGTGTCAGCTGGGCTTCAGCCTGGTGGTCTTAGTGCGATGACATTCAGCCGCCCCCGCAACTACTGCAATCCTCAGCTGAAGCATAGCCAAACTCACTACGACTTCACCAGCCTTCCGGTGTTCCAGGACAACTATGAGCGATCCTTTGAGCGTTGCAGCAGGTGTTGTGGGTCTTACTGTGCCAGCTCTGCATGGTACGAGACTTTTACTAGACGACCTACAAAAGATTAAGGATGCGCCTGAGATGGTCCAGCGCCTGAAAGGCGACGTAGGCGCGATCGACCTGGCGCTTGCTTCGCTGCGAGCTGTGAAAGAGCATGAGTGGGAATCACTTGGTACGACCGTAGCAGAGGACGTCAAGACAACTATCAGTACATGCACAAGAGCGTGCGACGCTTTCCGAGCTGACCTTCAACATTGGACAAGACACTCAGCTGGAGGGAAGTTGACGTTACAGGATCGTACGAAAGTGGGATTTTGGAAGCAAGCAGAGATCAGGACCATATCAGAGCAGCTTCAGAACTGCAAGATCACTGTTACCTCCGTCGTCAGCATAGCCACCTTGTAAGCAGTCCGAACGCCGCACCCTACGAGATGGAAGCTAACCGACGCGTTCCTTCCTCGTAGATACAGCTCCATTCGCCATTCCCACGTGACAGAGGAAATCAGGCAGACAATTTCAACGAACCAAGTACAGATTAAGAGCGCTATCAGGACGGTAGATGAGAACCTCGAAGCTCTTGGAAGCAGAGGCGGAGAGTTGCAGCCCGAGTCAGGTGACGAGGACCTGAATGAAAGCACGAGTCGTGTCGAGGCTTTGCGACAGCTTGAGGAGGAACGCAAAGCGGTAGCCACGACCCGAAAGCTGCTGGACAAACTACTGGCCAAGGCGCAGGAGGAAGAAATTCAGAAAGCTGTTGCAGAGAACCAAAACCGGTCAACTACTGCGACGTTTGGTCACTCAAATTCTGGCTTCCAGGCGAACATTGTCAACGGTGGGCTGAGTGGGTTCAGTTGGGGCGGAAAGTAAGAGGATATGTTCGCTAACGCTTTGTAAAAAGATCTCAAGCGCGTTAGTTAGGTTGCTTGTCTAATGAATATCTTGCTGCCTAAGCCTATCGCTTCACCCTTACACCTGCTAGCTAGAGCTGAGCTGACCAAGTTATCCCCGTAGGTACACGTGATTTCCGGTCCGATACATTCGGCATCCGGTAAATGCGAACCCCAATTTCTCACCTTGATCCAGAGTCAGAGCCTCAATACCCCTCCATTCCCCGAATCGCAACCATTTCCTTGCCCAATATCTTCAACTTCCGAAAATGGCGACGACAACAGTCATCGAGTTGGAAACCCTCGTAGTCGACTCCGCCACAACCAATGCTACTCGTCTCGTTTCCACTCCGTCTCGAGAAAGTCCTACACGCCCAACGGGTCTATCGCTCGATCAATCACCGACTAACGAAACGACAACAGCTCTTTCCAAGAGCCGAGCTGTCATCGTGATAGGCCAATTAATTGGACTGCAGCTTTTCACAAGCTTCTGTAATGGCATCGTCGTGGTCAGGTTACCCGCCATTGCGGGCACGTTGAGTCTAGAAGCTGGCCTGCTCCTCTAGCTAACGTCTATATTTTACCTTACCGCCGGGTCGTGTTTGATGTTGGCTAGATTAATTGCCAATGTCGTAAGCATAAGGCCTGTGGTGCTTGCGGCAAACATCCTCCTAGTCGCAAGTGCTCTTAGCTGCGGCCTAGCACAGACTAGAGGTGAACTTATTGCTTTTTGTGGCCTACAAGGCGTTACTAGCGCTATGGCTGTCCTAGCGTCTGTTTTAATTATTTTAACAAGCGTTGAGATTAGATGGCTACGTAATCTTGGATTTGCATGTCTAGGATTTTTAGGTCCGCTTAGGTTCTTGATTGGCTTGGTTCTTGGTGGCGTGTTCGTGGACAGCGTCGGATGGCGGCCAGCATTCTATCTCGCTGCGGCTGCTAGTTTTGTCTTGTGCGTCATTGGGGTTTGGGTGTTGCCTCGGGATGCTCGACCAAAATCTAGACGTACGATTGGGAAACAGTTAGCTTTTGAAACTGATTGGGTCGGGACAGTAATCTCGAGCACAGGGCTAGCAACGTTGTCGTATGCATTGGCGTAAAATACCACGACTCGTTCATAGTACTACACATGAACTGACAACGGCAGAATGTTGTCATCTGACATCAACAACATTCGGCGGGCATCCAATATCTCACTATTGGTCATCGGTGTTGTTTCGGTCCCAGCATTTGTCTGGTGGATGAACTACCAGGTGAAGCACAACCGCCCAGCACTTATACTAAACTCGCTCTAGCGTAACTCTAATTTTACAAGCATTTGTGTCATGATACTGCTTACGAGTGCGGTCAGCAACAGTATAGAGCTATTCAGCAGTTTGTTGTACGTCCCCCGCCTTCATTTTGATCTAGGAAAGAAGTCTTTACTGACGTCTCTCAGCTTTCAACAAGTCCAGGGCAACTCTGCGCTCGGAGCCTCACTGCGCATCCTCCCTGCACTTGTTATGGCCGTCCTGACCAATATCTCGATGGGTTATTTTGTCAATCGCTTGCCGGTCATGTGGGTCGTGCTGATCTCCTCGGCATTGTCCGCTATTTCACCTCTACTCATGGCCGTCGTCGATCCTGAATGGCCATATTGGTACATGGCATTTATTGCACAGGTAAGCAAGTTCACTACGCTCAATATCTTGTCGCTCCTCCTCCTTACCAACTGCCTACGATCCGACCCATCTTCTTTCACGCAATTTGCACCTCTGCCTGGCTAATCAAACTCTGCATAGATTCTCCAGCCTTTGAGTCCAGATGTTCTTTTCACCGTTGGCCTGCTCGTTATCTCCGCCGTCTTTCCCCCGCACACCCAGGCCCTGGGTGGGGCAGTGTTCAACACCTGTGTACAGCTTGGCACGTCAATCGGCTTGACGGTTACGTCGGTTATTGCTGACTCCAGAACAGCCGCTTCTGGTGACGTTGATAAGATGTCTCCTAGTGCCCTTATGGCTGGGTATCGCGCAGTTTTCTGGGCCTTGTTTGCATGGATGGTATTTGTGTGTCTTGTGGGAGCGTTGGGATTGCGCAAAGTGGGCAAGATCGGGGCGAAACAGGACTGATATAAAAACGCATTATTTGCTTGGTTCAACGCGGAAGGATATGATGAGTGTAGGAATGAAGAGAAAAATGGTGGCGAGTCTCGGATTTCAAGAATCTATGTACACCGACCTTTTTCATGCAATTATTTTACTTTCTCGATCAACTTCTAAGCAAATAACCAACCACGGGCTAGCAAGAGACAAGAAGGGTTGAACCCCTGTACCGTTTAAAAGACTACGCGGTAGGGACGCGTAATCACTTTGACAGTTAGTGCTACTTCCGAAAACATGTGATATCCTAGAGATGTTCGCAGAACATAGTGACTTACACGTAGCCAAAATATGAGATCCCATCATTTGACCCTATGGGGACCGTTTGAGTGACTGATATCTCGCCCACGATAAGACAGGTCAATGCGGTTAGTGTACAGCATCGGTACGATGTTTCTTGACACAACATAACAAATACAGCCGCAATCCTCCCTAGCACGCGATGGGCGTACATGTGGGTTATCAAGAGCACTTCGACCGACTTCTTCTAACATTCGCAGCAACGGTTCTGCAATAACAATGTCCACGAATCTCTTGATATAAAGAGAGCAAGGGCTACGTGATAGTCGAATCATCAACCCCAGTCCATATCGTATTACTTTCAAGTGGCTAGCGTCTTCTCTCCAGTGTTAGGTATTACAGCCCCACGCCTTGGCGCTGGTGTAAGGCCTGACGGTTAGGGGAGCTTGTCGATGACGATCATTTCACACAGGCGGCGAGATATCAGGCAAAGCTCACTCTCAGAGACTTATAGAACCAGAAAAAATGGTCTGAAGTTGAAGTTCCATCATGTTGATTGCGCTATAATCTCCATAAAGAACTGATTCACGCTACCCCAACTTTGGTGTTCTAGAAAGAAAAGAGTGACCTTTCTAGCAGACACTTCCTTACTCCCAATCAACAGCATTGCGTCCCATGTTATCAACCCTCCAAGGTAGTCATGTTCGCACGAGGCTTAGTAGCTCTCTGCTTCAATTACCTTGAAGCCCTGGCTTGGTTTGGTACCGGTCGTTTTGAGCTAAAATTTCCAGAATCAATTTCTATACCATAGTCATCCACACACGTATGCCATACCTGATACGATTCCTCGGTCGGGACTTCGATGTACTGGCCATTCTGTGAGAATCTTCGACATATTAGATTTGATTCTGTGATGCCTTTGGCCGATCTTGTCGCCTATTGAACTTACGTATACAGGTTCTGACCAGTCGGGGCAATGGTCCATTCGTCTGATGGTTCTTCGATCAGGTGTGCAGCTAGCCTGTCTTGTATAGTGCTAAGAGGAGCCCCCATGATTTTGACCCTATATTTGTCTCCTCCAAGTGACTCAATTATCCACTAGAACATCGAAGTTACAACACTGCTGCTGGCAACCCTAAACAGATGGCCTACCGGGTGTGGCACTGCCGCATCGTTTTGCTGAGCCACAATTCTCTTGGGCAACAAAGACAGATCTTCAATGGCGAAGCGGCCAATCTTGAAGTTGCCATCGGCAGTCGTGACTTTGTAAGTGGCGGTTTTCAAAGGCATCTTGAGGTCGGTGTCTCCTAGATTATGAAATTGAGTTTAAGGGAAGTTTATGATGGGCAGAAAACGCCGGAATCTTGGGGTAGATTTATATCCTCATCGGGCCAAGGGATCATCGTCCTCGATGTCTCAATGTACGTAATTGTGTCCTTTTTGAAGAGTAGTACCTCGATTTGGGCTTTTTGACAAGTCATCTTGCAGCTCCTAGTAGAGGTTACACAGCTTTGTGCACATCGTATTTAGTGTCACTACATCTAATGTGGCCCTATCATGCAGGGTCTCGACTCGTGATTGAGGAGATCTTATATGCTTGGCTCTCCACAGCATCTCCAGATGCGAGCGATCGATCGAGATGCGGCCCGTCGCGCTTCTAGTGTTGCATCTGCTCAGTGCTCATCGAATGCGTCCATTTACTTCTACCCAATGATATATACGCATGGTGGAGTAATACGCATAGTGGAGTAATACGCATAGTGGAGTAATACGCATAGTGGAGTAATACGCATAGTGGACTAATACGCATGGTGGAGTAATTCGGCGCACACTGCGGCTAGCAAGTACAGCTATTACTATCTGATGGCCCGTCCAGAGCAACAGCTACCCATACGCTGAAACAAATTCATGTTAGAGACACCAGGATGGGTCCCGCACGACAGGGTGGGTCGTCAGCCTGCAAAGACGTATTAGTATTCACTTTGGCACTAATACAAAGATGTTTGTGAAAACGGCGAGTTGAACCTCCATAGATGTCTTAGATATTCCAAGATGAAAAACCATCTTTTGTCAACGAAGTCGAGGATAAACAAAGACTGCAAAGGCTCTGTGAAGGCGCTACCTCAAAGATATTCTCGTCAACATGAGAAAACCTCTTGGTGTTCCATACGCCGTTCCTAAGGCCGCCGGGAACCGTAAGCCCGCATGAAAAAAAGCAATTAACTGCATTGTGGACAAGGTCTGGACTCACTTGAGGTCAGCAGTGACCACATCGTATTTCTGGTGGTTTTTGACTGGAGCCAACGTATGCCAGGCCTTGTAACACTGCCTTCGAAGAGATGATCCACACAGTTGACTAGTAAATACGTCTAGATCCTGGAATACGTGGTCGTCTGGATACGACCCCCTCGCGACGTAGTTGAGATCATGGCTGCATGAGGATGTCAATCAAAGCTCCGGCGGCCGAGAAGGCATCGGTGTTGGTCTTGATGTTAGGCTTGATAGTCTATACTGTCGGCCTAAAGTGGGTGTTGAGTTGCCTCGTACAAGTAGTCGATGCCTTCGCCGTGGATAAGTCGTAGAGTTTGCCTGTTACGCATTTTTGTCACTGAGAAAGAAAAAAACATCGTGGGCATGTCTGCAAGGGTTGTGGCCGGGAATTACTAGACATGCGATCAGTTTACCATAGTCGAATGAATTAAAGCGTTGTAGAACCTCAATAGAGGGAATCTATATTTTTGCGCAGGATGCAATGGAGGGTCTGTCAGGTAGGTAGCTGTTTGGACAGGGCTTGAAATGTCATCCTGGAATGCCAACGGAGATCTACATGGGAATTTTCAAATCCCATAGATTGTGTACCCATGCAGGATCAATCAATGATCGTAATGTTATACTTTCCATCGAACTTCAGCACTGAAACGCGTACCCGAACATATCAGCCACCTATTTTTACGGCAAATGTTAGCGCAAACGTTGCACCCATCATTCACTCTTGCAATCTCATCGGCGTTCGTACATGCCCATCATAACGGTATCGATAGAGATCTAACACTTGAAAAATGCTTAAAGGTGAACACTATAGCTAGAGGTGTGTTTTTGTTGATCCAATGGATGCCACAGGCCAGTCAGGATGTGTGCGATTTGAGCATGTCAGGAGCGCTGGTAGCGTTCGCGATTTGGCTCAATACATGCTCACTGCACATTTGCATGAGGAGTTACACGAAGCAGCAACCTCGAGCAGATGGCGCGCTACGAGCGGCTACTTCGCGCACTTTTTCTGGCTTTAAAGTCGTATTTCTTCGGACGTCGAGAGTCATTGGGGGAACGTTGCGGCTGAGAATTGCAGATACGGCTACGTTGCCCATCCGATAGAGTTCCTCGATTGACGCTAACGAATTTGCACTTGTGGCGTCGTGTTCCCGCACCGTTTGTAGGGCCGACTGAGGAAGAGTCCAGATCGATAAATGCCGCACGTCCTGCTCACACCTCATATCAACTTCTGTCTTACCGGGACTCTCAGATTGATTTAAAGCAGGATACAGAATAGGTTAGACTGGCCTCGTTTCTGCACTAAAAAGGGAGGTACGTCCACTGAAACGCTGAGTAGAACTGCGCAAGTCCGGCGTCTCAGGCTCACGTCAGCGAACCTTAGAGCGCCATCAAAGTCTGTTATTTCCAGTATGCTAGGCAGTGAACCTGTTTAAAGTGGGGATGGGTTCAGGAACAAGCTTTTTGCGAACGGGACGATATGGCGTTTAAAAGGCTTGTGCCTAGCGCCTGGAGCATACGTATCCCGTTATCATAGAAGCGTGATTGCTAGGGTTCGTGGCTTATTTTCAGGGCTCCGATTCGTGGATCAATGGATGTTGGCGCGCCGTCATGGATTTCTGAGTGGCGTAGGCTGAGTTATGTGAACTGAAAACATCACTTTCACGTGGTGGGGGTGGGGCCAATTGCGCTAACATCTCTCCCAGCCGTTTGAGAAATTGCATCGTCCCGCGCTACTTGAAATCTCCTTTCCTCTCACGAATGCTTATTTGATCTAAGGAACGCTTATTTGATAGAGCAAATTTTGGATTGGTTTGGAGGTCCGAACGATGCCGAAGTTGCTCGAGTGTCCATCGCGGCGATTGATGGCTTGGTGTCTTCCGCAGGCGTCTGTGCGACGTGACAGTTCTCGCAAAACCCCATCTCCATCTACCGATAAGCGAGCAAAAGTGCCCATAGCGCTTCAGTACCGGTGTGTTGGCGTCTATTTCGCCCACGATAGGGCTCAAAATTGCTTAGGCTCACATGCAGGCACCTGTCAGTCCCGCAGTGTCGGATATTGCGCTCCACTCCTGCACATCGGCAGCACGACCCGAACGGTCACAACGCCAACGATTGTAGGAGTAGCCACGCGGACGACATATCAAAAAAACGATACTGATATTCTGTCATTCACGACATGCTACCGACATGTGTCGCTGGGTGACAAGCTTGCTCTGCAAACTCAAAACTGGGGTTTGCTTGACGGCGTGCAATGATGCGTCACTTGGTGGCGAGCAAGATTTCGGACATGAAACTGTAGTGAACTTGAGGCGTCTGACAAGCAAGGTCAACCCCCCTGCGCACATCGATTCGAGATCTTCTGGTAAATTAATATGCCGAACTTCGGTATCTGAATCAGGTACGTCAGGACGGCCAGATCATTCCAACTCTGGAGACGTATGTTATATCCTTGCGAAGATCTTCCCAATTGAAGTGTTCATCAGCTGCGATTTCCGCTCTTTTCGTTGTCATTCATCGCCTCGTTGAGAGTGTCACTCACTATGCGGTCTATCTTTTGTTTCACCCTTATCGGGCTTGCTTCTGCGCAAAATTCCACTGCTATCAGCGGATTGTCATTCTTTTCTAGCGCAACTTCAAAATCCTCCATATCAACCACAGCACTTAGAACATCTTCTGCAACAATTTCTAGCGCCATCTCAGCAATCACCGTTGCAGCAGATGGTTCGGGGCAGTTCACTGCCATCAATGCTGCAGTATCGGCTGCGCAGAACAGTGGTATTGCCACTGTCACTGTTCTCCCCGGCACCTACACCGAGGCAGTCACGGTCAGCGGTACTGCAACAGTCACGATCGTAGGTGCCACCGCTACGGCTGCAACCGATTGGTCTCAGAATCAAGTTACCATTTCCAACTCCACTACCCCCCTCACTATCGGAACCAGCAACTCGAAGGGAGTCACGCTACGAAACCTTAACTTCGTCAATTCGGCCTCTACCTCAGAGTCTACTAACGCAGTTGTTATCGCGCTGAGGGGAAGCAATATCGCCTTCTATGGGTGCTCCATCGTATCTCCTGGTGCTACAGCAGTCTCAGCTTCATATGGTCTTGCACTGTTCGCAAACTCATACATCGAGGGTTCAGATAAGCTTTTCTACAATGTACCGACCATGTACATCTACAAATCTACCATTGTACCCCTGTCATCGTCAGGAAGCATTGTTTACAGCAAGGGCGCGACCCAGAACGGCGTCTTTTCCAATTCTACAGTTGTGTTCGACTCCAGCTCGATCCAGCAGAAGTCCGGGAGAACCAATACTGGAGTGTTCCTGGCCGCTCCCAATGGGGCTGGCGCCACTGCCATCTGGCGGAATACGTCAATTGGATCTTTCGTTTCTACAGCTGGTATTCACAGTTCTGCGGCTACCTTCACGTCATTCTACGGTGAATTTGCGACAACCGGTGCCGGCTCATATGCTAAGAACTCGGCTCTTCGTTCCAGTTATGACAACCTCCTCACCGCAGATCAAGTCTCTCAGTTCACCATTGACAAAGTATACGGAAATGCGTTCTATCCATACGGTAGTTCAAGTCTCAGCTGGATTGATCAAACTGTTCTGTCTGAGTTGACAGAGTCGGACTCGGCTCAGGTTGCTCTCGCTTCATCTGCAGCATCATCTGCATCGTCAACGATCTCGATTACACCGTCAAGCACAACAAACTCCACCAGCTCAGCAACAATCAGCCCGTCTGCCACTACTTCACCATGCGCTTTGGGCAATTCCACTACTCTTACAGTCTCGAAGAACCCTGGCCCATGCGAGTACGGCAACGTAACTCTAGCTATCAGTAGCCTTCCCAACGACAGCAAAGCATATACCATTCGGATCAGTGCGGGTGTCTACGTCGAGCAGTTGTCGATTACCCGTAAAGGCAAGGTCACATTGGTTGGTGCCACCAACTTCACGAACGACTACACGCAGAATCAAGTGAGAATTGAGATCTCAAACGGCGTCTTGACC